AATCGTTTCTGTTAATATAAATAAAGCAGACCCGTCCTAGAGCAGAAGGTCTCCCACGTGAGATGACGGAACCACCCCTGACAAACAACCCAGTGACAAAATCCAGCAGCCCTGGGCAGAATGAAGCAGGATGGCAATCTGCAATGCACCTACATCTTGGTCTATACGGATCTTGAGCTGGTCCACCAATTACTGTCAGAGCAGAATCTTGCAGGTAGGTTTCCTACTGTTCAATGAATAGAAGCTTAAGAAGTTAAACCTTTAGTGGGGAGTATGCCTTAATGTGTACAATAGGATGCTCTGAATCAGGATTTAACAAATGACCACAACTTTAGAATGTATGTGCAAGAATATTAAATTCTGCGTACAACTGATGCTGGGAGGGATAACACAACATCCTATACGTAAAACAATACTGTTTACGATTCACATAAATTTGCATCAACTCATTCTGGGGGCGGGGGAGGGAAGGAGGGAGGGGAAGGGCATAAAGCAGCTTAGATAAGGGAAAGACAAGATGGTGTTCTGTACCACCAGCTGGTTCTACGTCGCATTCCGTATAAAGGGAAGCCACTCTTCTTTAGGTATCAGAGATCTTTAAAATATGCAAGCCAGATGCCATAATTTAAAGATTATAAAATATACCGCCAAAACCTTAGAGGTCCATCAGCTCTCTTCCACAAAACGCCAAAACAAACAAACGGATCCTCCCTCATCCCTAGGCTAAGATAACTGTTCTGTGACACAAATCACTATGCTCATCACATGTCCATGACACACCACTGCCACTCTCGGCAAGACAAGCTACAAACACGGACACCCGATATAAGGTGAGATATTTAAAAGTGTTCCAAGAGTGACTAAAATCCACAATTTCCAAAACCCAACCCCAGGAAATTAAAATCATGGCTGCTCTATCGTGAAGACTTTCTTGCCCCCAAGACGGCGCATGTAACCCTCCAAGGGGCCCTTTCACCACCCACACCAATGACTTTTCACTACCTTTAAGCTCTGCTTGGTCTTCTGAGGGAAGAATTTACTTTTGTCGTTAAGCGGTGTTTATTTTAGCTTATCACTGAACGTCTCACTTGAAAACTCCCACCAGCAACACCACCTTCCTTTACCTGCCCAGAGGCTGAACTAGAACGCCATGAAAGCCGTGCTCACTGCAAGGGCTCTGGCCACTCAGACCTGGTTCCTTTATAGAAAGTGACACTTTTCTTTTCTTAAAAAAAAGGAAGAAAAAAAAATTACAGCACCAGAGAAACGATACCTGCCGAGAATGAACTTTATTTGCTGCAATCCTGTTTCTGCATGTATCCAGGCCCTAATCTGGACAAATGACCAGGGACTTTCAAAATACTGAATGCCACACACAGAAATCACTGTAATGTTAAAAATACAACAGCCTGCAGGTCCTCTCCCAGACATGCCAGGGGCGAACAAAGCAGCACAGAACGGGACTGAGAGACATGGGGTGGGCCCCGGGCAGCCCACAGGGCCCAGAACGCCCCGAGGGCCCTTCTGGGAACCCAGACAAACAGATGGGCAACCAGGCCCCAAGCCAGATTCAGCTGCCCAGACTAAGTAAAAAGCAATGAGTGTATTAATTCTCAAAAGGCGAATCTGACTTACAGGAACCCCCTGTGCAGGCCAGATCTTTCTTCTCCACAAGCTACACAAACTAAGAAGCAGAGGGTGACCCCAGGCTGTCAAGCAGGGGCGACGGAAAGCACCCTAGTCCGGCACTACCTCTTCTCCGCCCCCAGGCAAGATGTCGCCTGCATTTCTGGGTGACTGTTCTAAGTTTATCTTCCCTGCTGGACTTTCACTTCACCCAGACATGGGCCCTGACTGTGCTTCCAGGCATGAGGAAGGCTGGTGCTCAACTAAGGGAATGAATGAACAAACGCAACCACCAACCTACTTCGCTTCCTCCTGATACCGAGAAGCGAACAGAGAACCTCCCTCCTGAATCACCTTCCAGGAGATACGTGACGACACCAGCAAAACCATCCTGTTTCTCCACTGTTTTCACATTCTGTCTTCTGTTTCAGGACACTTAGAGAAGCAAAGACTAAGGTCCCTGGTCTCTTACAAAGCAGAGCTGGGCAGCCAGTTGATCGGGAGCTCGGCCTGCAAGAGCAGGTGGAGGTCGGAGCTGGGGTAACACACCGGGTCTGGATGCTTCTTTGATCGATAAGCTAATGGTTACACAGAAGTCACATGCTTTTTAAAAAATTTTTCTACCATGCAAAGATATAAAAAGTACACAAATAAAAGTAAGCCCTAGGGCATAGAGAAAGCCCTGAAGTCAAAAAAAGAAATCCAGATATACCGAGTCCGTGAGTGGGCAGTGAACCTGTGCAGTGAAAGTGTACCCTGCCCCCAGCCTGCCCCGGGTATGTGGGCAGGACCCAGATGCTCTGTTTTAATGACAGAATGGTTAAGGCTCTAGGCTCCCGGCTCCCAAGACTGGGGTCCAATCCACGCGAGTACCTGTGGCCAAGGTACCTGACCTTTCTGAGCCCTGAGTTCTTTAGCCATAAACCTTCCAAGTTGGTTTTTTTTTTTTCTCTTTTCTTCCCTTGAAGATTAAAAAGGATGGTTATTGCTAATGATTTCCAAGTACTGAGTATATTCCCCATTCGGTTAGCCACTACTTTCACCACTAACAATTCAAGAGTTTACGATTAACAAATAAGAAGGTTTACCATCTAATTACCACAGAAAATATGCAGAGTAACCTCAATCTTATTTTAGAAACTTAACCTTCACGTAAATAAAAATATTTTAAGAATAAAATCACAACAGTCACAGAAGTTGCAGTATCATGCAGACTTTGTACAATCCAAATACTCAACGGGAATGCATCATTTCTAAAGTAATAACAAAATGTTCTGGAAATCTCGCAAGCCTGTAAAAACTCACACTTCGAGTGTAACACGGTTCACCTGTGGAATCACTGAGGAGCCGTCACAGCAAGGAAACACTGGTATTTTAACCAACGACTTTTGGAAAGGTCCTTCCTCACGCTCCCCTTGCCAGCTTCCAGCTTGAGGATGACAGGGAAGCGGCCCCTGCACACTGGCACCTGCTCACTGCCTCGGATCCCCTGGGTGCTGGGCAGGGAAGCTCCATACCTTGTCATCCCCGAGTACTAGTTAGTTTACTATGTGTAAGAGGAGTTCATTTATTTATGGGAAGTTCACATTTGCAAACCTCCATCAACGTACAAGGAAAGCAATCACTGTGGAGAAGAAACTCATCCACGCAACTAAATGCCGATCCTCTATGTCAGGGATGGGCAGACTTTCTGTAAAAGGCCACAGAGTATCTCAGGCTTTCTTGGCCAAAAGGTCCCGCTGGAACCACTCAACTCTGCGGCAACACCCAAGAGCAGCCCAGCCCACCCTTCCCGCAGCCTGTAAACAGAAAAGTCTGTTTATAGAAACAGGCTGTTGGCCAGGTTTGGCCCCTGGGCCCTAGTTTGCAGACCTTTCATCTGTTAATACTCCACTTTAACCATCACAGGGGTTTCCACTATTGGGGCAAACGGCGACCTCGCCCACTGGAGCCCACCCCTCGGGAGAGCCCCACAGGCTTCCTTGCGTCATCCTTCACGGTGTCACTAACGTTCAAGGAGCTGCAGATCCTGGCCCTGAACGGCTTTTAAGTGGGGTCTGCTCCCGAGCACGGGGGCGGGGCAGGGCCCGAGGAGGCCCACGTAAATGTGCGGTAAAGGACAAAGGGGACGCAGAGCCCCGGGGACTGGGGGCTGTTCTCGGCAGACTCCTGAGCTGGGAGGGGAATGTGACGTATAGAGACTAAATAGAATAAATGTACTGCAAGATAGAAAAGGCTGATAATTATCTGGGAGGCGGATAAGAGGAAAGAGATGGCAAGCTTAGAAAAGGAACTGGCTGCTAAGGAAAGTGGAAGAAAATGCAAAGTTAAAAAATGGACACAATCTTTGAAATTTAATAAAATGGCGAGAGTGTGCAATTCCTATAATTTTCTCTGAAAGCTCGTTTGGACATTTTAAAAAAAAGCATAACCTGCCCGGTTTGGGGAAGTGCTGGGAGCACCCCATCATTACTACTCTTCCTGGCATTAACAGTCTCCCCAGGGCAAGGCCTCCACGACCCCAGGAGCAAGGGCGGCCTCCAAGGAGACCAAGCCTGGCTGCCCTGCTCAGCCCCCAACAAGCTCCGGCACAGAGCTGGGGATGCAGAGGTAGGTCTAAACCAGAGTAACCCAGTAGAGGAGGGGGCCTGGGATCCCCACGACGCCCATCAGAAACAGAACCCTCTGCCGGGAGCATCCTTCTCCCAGGTCTTTGATGCTAACCTACCCCAGACCCTCCCCGACCCCACTAGACCAGAGAGCACCTTCCCCGCTACAGACCCCACCCCCCCGCCTCCCTCTCATCCCCACCTGCTCTCTCCCCCGCCCTCCAGGCCTGACGTCTGCCATCACAGTTGTGTACGGGGGGACCTCTGCTCCACCAGGAGAATTTCCCACCTGAGGGGTGGCTGTCCTGGAGGTGAGGGATCAAGAAGGAGGCAAAGACACAGTTCCCAAATGCTGGCGCTCACTCCCAGCCACCGGCCCTAAGGCGTACTTACTTCTGGCCAAACTTGACTCTCTCTCTCTTCTGCTTACTCTCCTCCAAACCCAGCATGAAATATTTAAACCTTTTTTTTTAATGGGGCTGAATAAAGAGTGAGCATCTGCAGTGAAGCAGAAATGATGCGTGTGTATGTCTGACACGTCCTGTGCGTAAATAACCATTTGAGAAATGCTTCATCCTGTGCAGAAAGAGGTCACCAATGGTACACACAGGACTGTTTCAGGGTGGACGCTCAGCACACCCCCTGAACGTGACCCGGGGCTGAGGGTCCCCCTCCCTGTAGGGAGCGCTCGGGGTCACGTCATCCACGTGGACCAGTGACCGGTGTGAGGTGAATGGATGCTGCAGGCACAGCACGAGTATTTACCGTCCTGGAAGACCCTCTCCACGTTCAGCCCGTACGTGGCGCACGTCTCGTAGTACGTGCACCTCTTGAGGTCGCTGGAGAGCTTCCGCGCCCTGGCGTCGTCGATGACCCGCGGGTTGGTGGAGCTGATGGCATCTGCAACAGACCGACAAGAAGCGGCGACATGGTGACCACGAGCGGCCTGGGGACGTCCCACCACTCACGGCCCCCAGGAGCTCAAAACCTGCCCCACGCTCAGCACTGCTGGGATTCTTTTCAGGACCTGGAGTTTTCAAAACACCGTTTATCGCCAACATAATCATCCCAGACACCACAACGATCAGGCGTTTCAGAGGATCCTGCTTCTGAATATGAAATAAAAGAATGTCCCCGAAGACCAGAAGGAAAGGGTACGAGTTCAATGTGGGTCCAGAGGACAATGCTTTAACAAGGAAAACCACACGGTCACTGCGTGTGGCGACCCCGGCACACGGCACCCGGGAAACGCACGCCCTCCATCTGCCCGCTGGACACGCGCTCACGGAGCCCTGTTGGGTGCCTGGCCCGGTTCTAGGCACGGGGATGCCCCCCCAGGGAACAAAACTCTGTGCTCTCACAGAGGGGACATTAGGTCAGCTGGGGAGGGAGGCAGAAAATAAGTAAGACACAAACGAGGAAGGACGATGGGTGTAGGATGGGACGTAGGGTAGGAGCTGGGTCACAGGGCAGGGGTCAGAGAAGCCACACCTGCAGCAGGTGGCGGGTGGGGGAGGGTGCCTGGGGCAGGGGGCGGCAGAGCGCCGAGCATTTAAGGGGGACCCAAGGGCGAGGCAGGAGTGGGAGGGGGCCTGGGGCACTGGAGGGGGTGTCGCAGACTAGTGTGCGAACCACGTTGGCTCTTAACAGGTGGCTTGGGTGGGGGACTTCCCTGGCAGTCCAGTGGTTAAGACCTCGCCTTCCAAGGCACGGGGTGCGGGTTCGATCCCCAGTCGGGGAGCTGAGATCCCACATGCCTCGCGGCCAAAAAAAAAACAGAACATAAAATAGAAGCAATATTGTAACAAATTCAATAAAGACTTTAAAAGTGGTCGTCATCAAAAAAAAAAGATGGCTCGGCTACGAGACACCCCTCACCTCCTTCAGGACCTGTGTACAGATGGGGGCATCTGAGCCGTGAAACACATGTCAGGCACCAGCCACTAGTCTCGTAATAAAAAGAAATGCAGCCCTTCTTTTCTTTCAGCTCGGCATCCACGAGGCCCTCTCCCCGTTCGTTCTGTTACTACTGAGTAACTGGGGGGCAGCCGCACGCCCCGCACACAGGACCAGAGGACGGGCTGAGGCGTTCTGGCCGGCGTGCTACCCTGCGAGGACACACACTTCACAGGGCTGCTCCTGACGGGGCATTTTCCCCGAGGGCACGAAAGCTCCTGAGTTACAGGAAACGCTCAACATCTCCTTAACCAAAAACCCGCCACCGGCATTTTCTGTACTAGTCCAGGGAAAAGCAGTGTAAGTCACACAAGACAGTGACAACCTTTTAAACGTCTGCTTTGCACAGGAAGTGCCTGAGGCACTCAAATTCCTGGAAGTAGTAAACAAAAGGGACATCTTGAGGGAATAATTTATTGATTTTTCCCCCTCCTTCTCTTCTCCTTACTCCCTATTTTTTCTTTTTTTTCCTAGTCCCACGGAATATGTTTAACCGATAGTTCTGAATTACTCCTAGAGAAACTATGATTCAGGACCCTTCTCCTGACAATGACCGGAGCCACCTCAAACAGATGTTCCAGAACATTCCCTGGCAGGGCCTGTTAGAGGGATTTCTTCAAACACTATCTCGTCCTGTCTTCTTACCTTACAGAATAAGAAATGTGACTTGGATTTCATAACACTTAAAGAAAAGAAGTTTTTTTTTTTTAAGGTGTAAACATCTTTTAAGAAAACAGTAGAAAAAAAGTTAGAAGCCCAAAATTTTCCAGTGCTTTCGTATAAACTAGAAAATACACTCCACAGAGCATGAATCCCGCTTCAGATTTATCCTGACGCCGTAATCCCCCACTCATTTCTGTCCCATCTCAGCTTCCTTCCAAGATACACTGTCATGTGTCAGAAGCAGACCCTACACTTGAATGCTCTTCTGGTCTTGTTTTTCATTCCTCTTGTGACTCTGCATCTTTTTACAGCTCGGGCTTCGCCCTCCAATCAAGGTGATCTTCAAGTCTTTAAAACAGATGTTTAAGAGACATCACACCATCACCTCGTCCTCTTAGGAACATCCTCCAGCTCCCCGATGGTACCCGGGAGAGAACACGTCCCCCCACCTCTGGGTAAGGCCCCACACCCCACGTACCCTTCAGGAATTGTCTTAATTCTTCTCTATCTTCTCCATCCCATAATCTCCTATCTTGAGGCCACCAGCCCCGACCAGCTGGGAGGGAAACCTGAGATCCCCTCAGCCGTTGTCTCTGGCACCCCACGCAGCCTGTACAGCATCAGGACAAGCGTGGCTTCACAGAAAGCGAAACGAGCTAATGGTACCTATGGGTGGAACCTTCCAGAAGCCCACACTCACTCCACTTTCCTGCCACGGGGGCTTCCAGGGTGCTCTGGGAATCAGAGGTCTGGCTGATGACCACGAGGAGCCCTCAGGTGAGGACTGTCCCTACTTGATAACATTCCCGTCCTGCTCCTTTGGGACATGGCTTTGCTGAAGTCCAAACAGGTCTCACAAATGAATATGAGGGGACAGGGAACAAGCCCTCCAGCAGTGCTCCCAGGTGCTCGCTGGGTGCAAGCTCACAGGTGTACCTTGCAGGTACATGGCCCTCAATCGACAGACGCTTATAAAACTAGAGGGAATAAAAGGGGGCCGGTTCCTCCACATCAGGGCTTCCCCAGAGCCTCTGTGGAGCCATCCCCAGGCCTCCCTGAGACACAGACCATCCACCATCCTGGTGGGAGGTGAAGATGTGCCTTCCTTCAGCTGGGGCGGGAGACACAGAGGCTGCACTTATCTCCAAGGTCCGCAGCAGGGAGAGATATGCATCTGCAATCCCAGCAGGACCTCAGGTAAACTGGCCACACGTGGAAACATCAGGAACAAAAGCAAACACGCACTCGACACTGGTGTGCCCACGGATGCCCCCACTGCCTTACGGGATTTCCTCCCTTCAAGGCCTGGTAGCGTCAAGGTCAACAGCATCCTGGAGCGAGTGATGCGGGGTTTGCATGGCCCCGTGCAGGGACCCCAGACTCGCCACCCCTACTACCCAAAACACTGCTGTGTAGAAAGACAACAAACTGATCAAAATTACCTTTCTGGCCTGGATTGAAAACCTACCTGCCCTTTATCCCGGTGAGTCCACCGCAGAAAGGCATTCTGCATCCTGAACACAGATCCCCTGAACCCAGGCGGCTGGCAAGGAGCCGCCCATACAGACCCTGCTTTGGCTCAGAAATGCCCTCGGTAGGCCTGCAGGAAGAGGCGCTTACTGGAAATTAACTGCCTCGATGTCGATTTCAAGGCAGCTTGAAGCAAGGTCTTCTTTAGATGAGCTGCCCACTAGAAAATATTACGTATTAAGAATTTTCAGGAGGCCAACTCAAATACGCCAATTCTGCACATCCGAACAAGAACCAAGGGCTTTTTACTGGCGTGCCTTGTCTCCCAGTGACCACTAGAGGGCGCTTTGGGCATAAAAAACCTCTCACGTCCCACGTTGGTCTAAATCCACCTCTGCTCTGAAGGTTTCAGGTGTGAGACTGCTGGCCAGGACATATATGCTATTAAAAAAAAAAAAAGAAGAGGGGGGACTTCCCTGGTGGTGCAGTGGTTAAGAATCCGCCTGCCGATGCAGGGGACACGGGTTCGAGCCCTGGGCCGGGAAGATCCCACATGCCGCGGAGCAACTAAGCCTATGCATCGTAACTACTGAGCCTGCGCTCTAGAGCCCACGAGACACAACTACTGAGCCCGTGTGCCTGGAGCCTGTGCTCCACAACACGAGAAGCCACCGCACCGCAACGAAGAGTAGCCCCAGCTTACTGCAACTAGAGAAAGCCCGCGCACAGCAACAAAGACCTGATGCAGCCAAAAAAAAAGGGGGTGGGGGGGATTGGCAATGAAGTTCTCTCCATGAAAACCCAACCCTCACGTTTTACATCTAGCACCCTGAGCAGATGACTTTAGTTTATTCCACACTTTTTTCTCCCAACACACACGCCCACTCCACGATTCAGGCTTCTCCTGCCAAGGCAGCGGATTACCCCGCCAGAGCTCTCAGTTATATTAGATCTGGTGCCACGCACGCAGCTAATTGTTCTTGCTTGTTTGACGCAGCTGGTTTCTTATTTGGAAAAGTCTTACATCAGGGCATGCAAGGGCAGACCAGATGTGCTCATTCTAAAGGAATTAACAAAAACAGAACCTGCACCAAAAGATGAACGGAAAATCCAGTGTTTCTTGACATGATTGTATTTTTTAAGTTCTCCATTTTTCTGGCAAAGCAGTTTTAAAGTTAACCTTCATCTGACTTTTAAAAACATTCCGTATGACCCCTTAGTTAAGTCCCCAGTGGCAGGTACCAGCACATCAATGAATCTATGATCAAGGGCATAGTAAGTGATGTCACTTTACTAAAAGACCAAGTTTTAAGTGTCCTAGAAAAAAACACAAAACGTACCCACATGGTAAGATTCTATGCTTTCTAAGGGATCTGCTAAAAATGAGATACAGCTCATAAGACATTAAGAAATAGAGCAGAATAAAACAAAACTCTGCATTATATCAGAAATCAGTATTAAAGGTACAAAGGTGAACATAAATAACCCTTTAGGGCGCTTATATATTATTTTGGAACAGAGAGAATTAAGATATTCTAATATAGAAATTAGAGCACTTGGGAGTGTACGGGGGTGTTTTGTTTTGAAGTTGCCAAGTGACTTCTCCACTGAATCAAATCAGGAAGTGTGACAGTTTCAGTTTCACGGATGCTCACTGTAAAAAGGGAGGCTTCAGTAGGAAATTACTGCTTCTTTAAACCGTTTCCAAACCCCTCCACTCTGAAAACACAGGCCAGGAATCACTTACTGCTCAGCTGCTGGAGCCATAGAAGCACAACCTGCCCTCGGGCACCACTCACCCTGGGTTCCCACCAGGACCAGCGGAATCTCACTCGTGTTCCGGTAGTTGGCCATCCGGCTGTAGTAGTGGTAGACCGTCTGGAAACTTATCTCATCCTCCAAGCTGAAGACAAATATAACAGCGTCCACCCACATGGCAAACTGCGGAGAAAAGAGAGGCAGGTGAGCAGGAGATACTGAGTGAGGCGCTCACGAGAGACAGGCAAAGGAGCAGCACGGGGTCACCTTCGTGAACACAGGACGAAAGGCCGGCAGACACGCCTCCAGCCGGGCCACGTCCGACGTCTTATAGCGCATCGCTGGGGCGTCACGAACACCCTTCTCATCCTCGCACAACACGCCTGTGATGGCCCTCAGCCCCTTCCCACCCAGGCCACGCTGTCTCCAGCGTAAAACCAGACATCCTTCCCCAAGGGAGTGTCTACCCTCTGGCCCGACTCGGCCAATGGAAGGCAAACCCCGCGCACAGCAGAGCCGACCTGGAGATAGGCACGGAGGGCGGCCTTGCAGCTTCCTGTTTCACCCCAAACTCCCCAAGAAGGCCGCCCAGGAAGCCGTGCTGGACCCCTGAGATGGGGCTCTTCCTCTGGGTGCCCACGGCTCAGAAAACCTCCACCTCCAGGGCCAACTACTCCCTCAACATGTGAGGCCTTCGTATTGTAAAGATCAGCCGTCCCTGATTAATCCCAGCACCCTTCAAGGAAATCATGACTCACTGCCGGAGAAATTAACAAAAGCAATGCACAAAACTTAGGGGAAAACAATGAAAACCCCACAACGGCCAACTCCTGTCATTTTATTCTCATTTTTCTTGCATCCAGCTGAACTCACATCAGATCCTCTCTCTGGCAAATAACCACACCCTCAAGCACACGTTATCTCGTGGAACACCCATAACCGTCTTGTAAAGCTGGAGCCAAGAGAGGAGAGGGTCCTGGAAGCTCAGCAGCTTCCCAGGGCTCCCAGGGTCACAGAGGTGGCGCTGAGGAAGAGACTTAGCGCCAGAGACCCTTCTCTTTGATGAAAGACCCAAGTGAAAATCAAATAAAAAAAAAAAAAAATGCCCCACATGCTTTCTCTAAAAGAACCTGCAGCTCCCACATAAGTTCTGCAGGTCAAGGCATCAGCTCTAATGTTTGGTGAGATTTTTAGTGGGTTAAGCTCTGACTTCCACATATAAATGAAAAGCGTATTCAGTTACAAATGGAGATTTTATGCAACAAAACGTAAATACACCTGAAGTTCAAATGATAAATATGAAATTAAATGAGAAAGAGAACTTGGGGCCAGTAGCCTTGGGACTGGCTGATGCCTCCTGAGGGCCCAGGACTCAGGCTGACACGGCATCTCCTTCTCCCCTTCTCTACCTTGAGATGTGTTTTCCTTTCTCTTCCCAAGAATCGGGGCGAAGTCAGCTTCCCCACGCCCACGAGCACCTTATGAATGCTTGTGGTCCCTGGGACCAGCCCGCACCTCCCAAAACTGACAACCACCTGACCCTCCGTGCAGAGGAAATGCAAACCAGGCCACATCCTCTCAAGGGTGCATCCTGAGAGCCCCAGGGCCTAGTGAGCAGTGGGCACTCCATAGATGTCCCCCATCCACCCCAGCGGCTTCTCCACCAACTGCAAAAAAAACCCCCAAAAAACCCAGTTAACTGGCAGAGTTTTCACACCACCTAATAAGACACCAGTATCCACAAAATCCTGCAACTTCACTCATGAAGCCGTCATTACCTTCACAGACTATATGACATGATCTGCAACAGCGGAAACGAACATCATGCTCACATGTGCCTAGGAGTGGTGACTTGAAAACAGTTCTTTTCCTTGAATGTCCGAGTACACTCGGCCTAGTTTTGAAAGGCTCCGTTTGACATCCCCTCAAAGCAGAAATCTGCACTTTAACCAGGGTAAGCTTCTAGCCTAATGATGCTTCTGTGGGAAGTATGTGCTAGAATAAGGGACTGGTCCTCAGGGAAACTCACGGCCAGGGGCCAAGACAGAGACCTCCTGGGAGCCCTAGTTCTACCCCCGGCGGGGCGGGGGTGTGGGCCAGCCACCTCGGCCTGTGCCCTGATGCCATGAGATCTCAGGGCGTCAGCGTCCTTGGTGACGGGAACGCTCAGAGCATCGTCTCCCAGGGTCATCTCGAGGATAAGTGAGCTGCACCACTCAGGGAAGGTGGCGGGGCGGGGGCTCAACCAGGGTTACCGATTCACAATATGTGTGCTTTCCAGACACGGGAAGAAACTTACAAGAAGGGCTCCATTACTGCTCACAGGCCTTAAGTTTTTTTGTTTTATTCTTAAAAGCCAATTCTTTAATTAATCAGGGACTAAAAGGAAGGAAAATGATTCTGTGTCGAATGACATCACATGTCCTAAGCACCTGAGGCTATGGAAAAGATGTGTTCCATAGGAATACGTGCTTCCTAGAGGAAAGATGCTTCTCAGAGGGTACATACCACTGGAGAGAAAAACCCCTGGGATTTTTAATGTCACCGTCTGGGGATGTGGGGAACACTGGGCCTAAGCTTCGTAACAGGAGAACCACCCCCCAAAAATACTTTCATTAAAAAGGCAACCCCAACAGCAATCATGGCTGATGAAAACTTCAGGGTGGGGCAGTACTCCGAGCCCCTAATTCCTCGGGCTGGAGTTCCCTCTCCAGTGTGGGCCTGGGGCTCCTTGCGAGACTGGTCTCACTGCGGTTAAACTCTGGCCCAGGGCAGCCTGCTCACTGCTCCACGACTGGCGTCAGGGGAAGCGCCGTGTCTCTGCAGCCCTGGGCCCCCCAGCATCCCATCCCTGGCAGCGTCCCGGGACATCAGTGCCTCTGAAGCCACTACACCAGCTCCAACATGCGCTCCTGTACGTCTCTCAACTTTCTTCTTAGATTCTTTATGTCAGAGCTAAGGTGTGCTCTTTACATGTGAGATTGCCCCTGGTCACTCCAAAACATTTACGAGCCAGAAAAGCGGAAAATCACCCCAGGTGACGCCCACACTTTACCTACGTCATTCTCCTATTACCACCTGCCTCGGAGGGAACCCTTGTGATAGCAGGACAGACGTCCCACGGGCGAAGGACCACTCAGAAAAAGGGACTGAGCTTTCAGCACCACCATGAACCTTCTAGGACGGTGTCAGACATCACACCCTGTCCTGCTTAAGTATAAAGTAACAGACGTGCGCTGAACCCGAGCTCTCACAGCTCCGTAACCTACTTTTTTTCATGTTTAACATGTCTTCGGTGTTTCCTTACTCTCATCGATTATGCTGTTTCAGCAAAGCGAAAACAAATCTTTTCCACACTTTAACTAACGTCTTTGCTATCAGAACATACCTTATGGACTGCTTTGTTTCACAGTTTGACAGCATTTTTCTTTTAAATACTGGTATAGCTTATAATCAGTGGCATTTTAGACTCACTAAAGCATGGTAAATCCACGCCATTTTTCTGCAGCGCTGCATACGCCTCAGTGTATGGAGTTCTAGAACTTTAACAACCTCCATATTCAACATCGTTCGCTTAAATCACCAATAATCCTGTGTCGCACTTTCACCAAAGGGTAAGTTCAAGAAAGAACGCCAGAGAAAATTTTTAATATTAAGTTCACATTAATGGGTCTTGACTATTACTAGCCCTCGGTCCCTTCAAAGTGTTCAGCTAGTAAATTATGTAAGTACAGTAATAAACTGGAGAGTAAGTAAACCAAAGAAAAAGGTTTTCCACACTCATGCTGTTTTTTTTTTCCTCCACAACACCCATTTTTCAAGGAACTTTCAAAGAAATCACACTGTGCTGCATCCGGGTTTGCAGCGGAGAATGATCCGGGCTGAGAAGCCTGGTGGGCAGCCTGGCAGTAGTGCTCAGATTTCCAAATCCCATCCAACTTTCTAAATGACTGTATTGCTCTAGAGATCAAACACAGGATAAAAGGAGAAAAAAAGGGCTATAGACACTTCCAGATGTCAGTTCAGCTGAGTGGACAAATCAGTGCAGATTCTGCTCTTCCTTCCTTCTTAAAAAACGCAAAGTGGGGCTTCCCTGGTGGTGCAGTGGTTGGGAGTCCGCCTGCCGATGCAGGGGACGCTGGTTCGTGCCCCGGTCCGGGAAGATCCCACGTGCCGCGGAGCGGCTGGGCCCGTGAGCCATGGCCGCTGAGCCTGCGCGTCCGGAGCCTGTGCTCCGCAGCGGGAGAGGCCACAACGGTGAGAGGCCCGCGTACCGCAAAAAAACAAAAACAAAAACGCAAAGTGAAAATCAGCCACACAGCCCAAACTTCCCTCTAGGTTTCTGTCTGAAGGAACAACGGAATTAGTCTCTCAGGGATGAGAAAAACCTCAGTACAGAAAGCATTTTCCTGGGGCCTCTCTCTCACCTTTTCTTGTATGCACCTGACCGACTTCTTAGAAGCACCTGTGGAGTCAGACCCTTCCCAAGGAGGCCCAGGTGAACGCGGGTCACCAGTGTGCGCGCAGTACTCACCTGTGCCTCTGGAGGGCCCCCTTCATCCCTGATCAGCAGCAGATAGCTCTGTCCGTCAACCACAATCTCTTTCTTGAATCTGCCACCTGCCACACACACACAAAAAATCTCGTTACGCGGGAAAGACAGAGCGAGGGGAGGGCAAACAGACGTGGGCTTCGCTTGTGGAAAAATACACCCTAGGCTGTGGCCCTGGGGGCAGCCCTGAGTGTTTAGTAGAAGTGGGCTGCGGCTCTGCCTCCAGGGACCCCTGGACTTTAAAAGAACTACTGAACTCAGATTCAAATATCCATCCTTAAGAACCCGTGTTCCTTTCTAGTTAGAATACACAGCCTCCATGCAACGCCAGGATCACTCGTGGCTCAGAAGCGTGGGATTTTAATGCAGGCTTTGTGTGTAAATTCAGGAATTCTCTCTCCCTGGGAACACGCTGATACCGAGTCCAGAAACAGAGAGCCCGGAAATTGTTCTCTCGTTGGGTTCACAAAACCGAAACGAATTGTATCTGCTGATCAGGGGCCTGGTCTCCAGCACGTTGACAAATTCAAGGGCTGAGAATCTGTATTCTCCTCAAGAGAAACCCAGTTCTTGGAAGGAAAACATAGAACAGCATGGGGATGGTGTTTCCGTGTTCACAGTTCACAGGGAAGGGAAGGGTGCTCAACTACCACACACGGGTTAGACACAAACTACTGGATGGCAGCTCCGCACAGGTGGAGACACAGCAGCGCAGCTGGCGGACGGAGAGCGTTAGAGACCACGCTGGGTTAGCGAGAGACCGCCAGGGGCCCCGCCGGAACACTGGGGGTACGGGGGTGGCCACGTGAAGGCGGCAGGGGCTGACCCCGCCCACGCCCAGGTGCCTCAAACATCTCCCCTCAGCGCCCCGGTTCGGACTGCTAGGCCTCCCCTGGGCAGCGGGAAATACGTCCACTTCTGGGTCCCTCTGCCACGCCCTCTGCCACCTCCAGAGACAAACGACCTTCCCACGCTCTGGGCTCCGAGCCTGCTGCAGTCACCCCTCACTGGGCTTCGGAACTCGTGGTCTCGAGGGGAACACGCCAGCACCGGCATTCATTTCAGCTCCTCGGCACAGAGGCCTTCCAGAATCACCAGCTAACCCCGAATAACTGGAAGCCCGAGAACCTCGCTGGTGGAGCTCCCCCATCGGCCCCAGAGGCTGGGTGTCGGCCCCCTGCCCCCCGGAGTCACACCTGGCTCTCCGCCACAGCGGCCCCTCGACGACGCGGACCTTCCCTCCGAGAGTCCGGGGTTTGGGCCATCCCAGCGCCCGAGAAGCAGAAACTAGACTCCCCGTCCCAAACCACCCCACCCCACCTCACCTCACCGCACCCCTAAGAAGTGTCCGCAGGTGGGCCTCTGCCACGTGAGGCTGGGGCGGCCCGCGGGGAGGTCGCCTCCGCAAGCGAGCACGCATGCGCACACGGCCGCTCCCGCCCCACATTCCCCCCCACCCTCCGCCCCGGGCACCCCGTCACAGGCAAGATGCACGTGCTTAAAGAGCAAAACTTCAAAAACCGAAGAAAACCTTCCAACTTTAAAATGGAGAAACTCCCATTTTGATCCCCCTCACCGCCGACACCGAAAAAGGAGGGCAGACTCCGTGGGGAACGGACGGAGGGAAACACATCTGAGGGCCGGGGGCGGGGTACAGAGCGCACGCGCGCTGGACCAGACGGGCTGAGGCCCGCTCTGCACCTGCGCATCTGGCTGTAGGAGGATCCACAGTGATTCACGGTCCCTGTGCCCCGCAGCTCCCCCAAACGAGCCCTGACTCCCAGCATCTGAGCGCATGGAGGCCAGCCCTGGTCTGATGAACTCAGGTTCGACCTCCACGAGCCTTCACAGCTGCCCTGGGCACGCTGGTCTCACACGGCCAATTCCTCACTAGTCCGCGTGGTCTCCAGAGCAGGAGGGGGCAGCTCCCGCAGTACCAGCACCCCTCCGCTGCCAGCCGCCTCCCCCCATCTCCCTGGGGAGCAGGCACCCGGTGGGCGTCACCATGCAGCTCTCCCGGAATGACGCCCGCTGATGGCCCTGCTCCTCCCCTGGGTCTCTATGCCCTCGTGTGTCTTACAGGGTAAGGGCTTGTTGGATAAATTTCACATCTATTCGTTCATTCACTTTCTTTCACATATTTTTGTAGAGTCACGACCCCAAGTTATGTGTCCAGATAGCTGAACAACAATACTAAAGTTAAGAAAGGTTTGCACAGAGTTCTCTCTGCTCCTCTGCTTTGTAACCTCAAGCAGAGGCCTCTGGATCTAATTTTCATCAGCTCTAAAAGGAGGGGTGATTCTCTCCTCCATCCTTAAGGCCCCTTCCAATTCTAAAATCACTTTTCATTTCCCCCCTAAGATATGTAATTAGTATGTCTCTTCAATATTTTACAATTGCAAATATTAGACACTTGCAATGGACTTCTGTGTTTTCTCTGGTGTTATACATCAGGAAACAAAAATGAAACACTCAAATGCATTTGCCATGAACCCAGAGGTTTGATTAGATAAAATTCAGCCAGGTGTTTAAGCACCCAGATTGTGAAAAAGTAAGACTACGATTAATAAAATTATATATAAAAAATAAACTCCTACTGCTGATAGATTGTCAGCAGGCTCAACGGGAACATAGACAACTGGGTACTGGAGAAACACAGCCCAGCAGGTAAATAAAATTCGACTTTAAAATCCGTTTTCTACAGTTCACTTTAGAGACACAAAGGGAAAAAACCTTGGGATGAAGGTGGGGGTGGTACCAAGCTGGTCTACACTCCCCAGGGGCCACCTCTCTCATTATCTGAAATTCAAACCCGCCATCCATCCCAGCCATTAGATCTTTCCCTACCGAAATATTAGAGCACTACCAAACTCTACATCCAGCTTCATTTCTAATGCAGATTTTTAAATGCCTATTTTACAATCCTATTTCCAATTACAGTCATCCCTCAGACTCCACAGGAGACTAGTTCCAAAATCCCTTACACAAAATGGTGCAGTATTTTCATATAACCTACACACATCCTCCCGTATACTTTAAATCATCTCCAGATTACCTATAATATCTCGTACGGTAAAAATACCGCGTAAATAGCTCTAAGTTCAACATAAATGTTATGTAACTGGCTGCCAGCATGAGACAAATTCAAGTTTTGCTTTTTGAAACTTCCTGTAATTTTTTTTTTTTTTTTGGAGTGTTTCAGATCCGTGGCTGAACAAATCTGTCGATACAGAGGGCTAGCAGGGCTGTTGCACCGAGCTCTGTATTCCTAGCATTTAATGCACAGCCTGGCCTGTGGCCCATGCTATAAACTTGTTACACGAATAATCGTCAACCGTCTCTGACTGCCAAATACTATTACATAACATTAAAGTACCTGGGGGGTAGTTTTACTTTTAGAAAGTGTACCCAAATCTGACCCCTGTATTGGGAACGACCAACATGCCCTTGGCTCGGCCCACCCGTGCATACGTGTGCAGTGTCCCTCACACAGCTGCCTGCCCACCGAGTACACAGGGGTACAAGGGCTCTGTACCTGTGCTGACATCTCCATGAGAAGGGAAAACGGAGATCCCTCCCGCACTTAAGTCTGTTCCTTCCAGAGATGCCGTGAAGTCAGCAGAGGTAGAGAGCACCACATTAAGTATGCAGCAAACAGGTAGAGATAAGTGAGCAGAACCAAGTTCATCTCTGGGCTTTGATGTTCGTAACTGAGTCTCGCTGGACAGAAGTGTTTGCATCTCGTTAGAGCACACAGAGGGGACATTCTTCTTGTCTGAATTCAACCTCACATGCAATTTATTCAATTTCTGGTTCACCCAAAGTCTAGTTTTCAGAGTTTCCAGAAAACTGCCCTGGGAAACTTCGTTTGCCCTTCAGCTTGCCTTCTTAAGCAAGTCAACGTCTTAATTTCTTCCAAAAATGAGTAAAAGATGGACCTGAATATACCTACCACGAACAGGGATGCTGGATGTGTTGTGAATAGCACACCAGGAAGAAAAGGTCAGTTGTTTTGTTTCTTTAATATCTTGAAAAAAAAGACTCAAGGGGGCCCCTTATAATCCACTGGTAACCAATCAGTATCAAGGTTTCAAGGTTACTACCCTGAGTCCTGATCTCATGCTGGGGGAACCAGTTTTGAATCTGGGATGCTGGCGTAGGTAAAAACAACTGGGTTCCCTCTACTCTTTAAACTCAAGCTAGGTAGGATGGACCTACGATGGAGCCCTATTAAATACAAGGGCTGTCTACACTGAAGGAGGTATAACCATCTCACCTGGGTTGGCATTTCTGCTTTAAGGGGGAAAAAAAGAAAATCAAATTTTCCTATTCTCAAAAAAAAAAAAAAAAAATCTTGTTGGGAGTAAACACTGCAACAGATGTTTGACATTTCTGTCTTTTTGGCTAATTGGACTAAAAGATATTATCATATCATTAACAGCTCTCCAGGCAACAGCAAGCCTTGTAATACTTTACAAAGCACTTCTCTTCCCACATCATGTCGGCTGTTCCTCACAGCATCTTGTGATGCAAATATCACCATCAACCTCCACATCTAACTTGGCTGGAAAAGAAGTTCAGACACTGACCAAACCCCCACAGCCAGCAGGCATGAGACCCAAACCCGGAAGTGCTGACTGATTCTCACCTCTGCCCTCTTCCCTGTGGATTTCTGCTGAGACAGTTCACGGCACACAGTGTCCACAGACGAGCTTGGAATCTTTCGTGTAATTTCCTAGCACCCACAGGGCAACACCAAGAATGCAGGGCAGTGGGGCTGAGGATGTCTTTTCCTCGCTCCACTCACAGCTCCAGAAGGGAACTGCCTTCAGCCCCAAATGGTAATCATCGCTGTGCTTAGGAAACTAAAAAGAAATAGACCTGCCTATCACTTTGTGTCACAAGGAAGAACCTTTTGTATTCTATTACAAGTTAATCATTAAAGGGATGTCGCCTATAAGCTTAAATGATACATAATGGCCCATCTCTGGGAACCCTGCCTCCCAGGTGATGAGCATTAAGCTAAAATACCTTTGCTGAGCTCACAGGAAACATCCTGACCAGGCCC